AAATGTTCTTGAAGAGTTTTAGACTAAAGTCATTTTCTGAGACTGAAGATATTTAGATGTTTTGGTCAAACCTTGTGATTGATGTAAACAGTCTCATGTCATTTTACAAGAGCTTGGGACGTTGATTAGCTCTTGAAGTACATGTTGAGGATGACTTTCATCTACTACCACACCGAATTTAGTTCAGTAAAATGACATTACATAATTAATGCTGAGGTTGTTGGTGGTCAGTCAGGTTCAGATCTACATTCAGTGATTACTTTCTGCAAGTTTCATTCAAATCTGTTTGCTGGTTTTTAATATTTTGCTAACAGACAACCATTAGAATACAAGCAAAAACTATTTTGCCCTCAGCTAAATGTGATAATGTTAAAGTTCAGATTGCTATAATTACCTAGGATAAATAAGATGTGACAATACACTGTATTTTTTGTCGATGTCTTTTAGAAGCGGAAGGTTGTGATCACAGAGGTGTCTCTTGTGTTCATCACAAGCTACAGACAAACTCTCAGGTAAAAACCTTCCTGCCTTCTGCATTGACAGCAGGTGAAAATAAAGGAGCTGTCTGAGGAAATAATCCTAATCTGTCAAACTAGTTCCACTAATAAATTCCTATGATCAAGAGACATGAACATTCTTAGAACATGTCTAGTGTAAAAACAGAAGTAAATGAGAAAAGGTTTTATGTTAAACTGCTCCAACACATTAGAAACAATGTGACAACAGGTTCTGTAACACCTTGATTCTTGTCAACATTTCGGAGCATCAGTGGCAACAGTTTGTGATCTGCCAGTCTCTCACTCCAGAGGAATGTGTGAATGTTGACAGGCCTGTCAATCATTATCCTCTCTATTTGGGTTCATTTAAAACTGACACCAGCTTCTTTTTTACATACTGCAGGTTTACAGGCCTTTTTATCTACAAGCAGTCAGGTTGAATCACAGATAACTGCTCTGAATGAGTTGCTCCACTCAGTCTGCTGAATACTAACCTTAATTTAAAAAGCTCCAGCCTGTAAGGAAACTCTCACTACATCTGTTCAGTGTGACAGAAATGTAGAACATGAAGTTACAAAGATTTGTTTTTTCTTTTTAGAGAATGACTCAAATCGCAAGTTTCTAATTAAAAAAGGAGTATATTAGTTTATGTCAAGCATTTAATTGATGAATGAACTTAAAATTTCAACTCAACAGTCCTGAGTGGCTGCGTGGGCAGACATGATCCAACATGGATGTCTGTTCCAAATACACTGTTTCACACTGATTCATACACTAATAAACACTCCAACACACTGCTGATACACACACTGTAATGCACACTGCTACTTACAATGCTACACACTGCTACCAACATTTCTACACACAGGATGCAAATACTGCTGAACACCCTGCTGAACAACTTCCTGAACACACTGCTAACTGGCTGAATCCTGTTCAAACCTTTAGAAGCTTTCAAGTCATTTTCTGTAAACTGAATGAATGAACATTATCAATACATTATCAATAAGAATCATTTTCCGTTTGCAGAGATTGTATGTCAGAAAGCAGCAGGTCTGGACTGATAGGATGTGTGGTCCTGGATCTGTAAACTAGAATTGACATTTATAGCCCAACCTGAATTTGGGCCGGGTTTGGGACAAAATTATATGCTTGATGGTTGGGTTTCTGTGGCATGTTTTAGTAATCCCACAATACATAGAGCAATGCACGATCTAAAGTTGTGTTAGTCTACTGATTATAGTCTGAGTTTACTCTGTTGAGGTAAAATAGAAAGGAGGAAGGTGGAGAAGTGAAGTGCACTGCACAATTAATACACGTCAGGGCTCTGCTCTGCTCCTCTCCTATAATATTTGCTTAAACTATTTTGGTCTTAAAACCAAAGCACTAAAACCATACTATTTGTGCATGTATAAACATTTAACCCCAAAAACCATCCATAAAGGAGTAAATTCTGACCGAGTTATTTCTAACACAATAAATGTTAGAATTTTTCTTGTATAGGACTATAACTGAAATATTGGGTTGTGGGGAATAAATTAGTCTAAATGTTTCTCCTCCAATTGATGGGTGTTTATCTGTAACAGACGAGTTTCAAAAGAAAATAAAAATGTGTTTACTGTTGTGTAATATTTACCTAGCTCCATTTCTGTAGATTTTACAAGGGTGTTCAGCAGTAGTTCAGGAAAAATTTGTTTTTTGTTTTAAAAACTGCGGAGCAGAGAAGAAAAAGACAGTTAATTAGTCATGTTAAATGGACACTGTCTTCAAGCCATGGCCGTGTGGAGTTTTTAGGGCTGATCTAAACTCTACTGTCGGCAGTTTGATCGGATTATGTTTTAGTGGTCTGTGATGAGATTATTACACAGTTATTGAACAGTTATTGTAATTTGGTTTCTTTTTTCTTGTACTCACAAAATACGTTTTACCCCCAACCAGCCATGATGCCCTGACTGTTCTTCCTTCTTTTGGACTAACATCTTTATTCAAAGACAAGTCAGGCTTCTTCAGACACTGAGATAACAGTTATTATTTTTCATTTTTATTATTCCTTTTCCTTTATTTTTTATTTTTTTGAAAACTTTACAATCCCAGTAGAGTCTCTTTAGCGTGACTTGTGTTTTTAAGTAAAGCCAAAATCCGTCTTGATATCTTGATATTCCATTTGTGTGTTTGCCACAGTGTGCAGTGCTGTAGCAGAACAACAGCTCCCCCAGGGCCAAAGCATGCCAGCTCACAGAGAAAGGGTGTGAAAGATGTCAAGGCAATTACACGAAGCATTACAGTTGTAATCTCCCCTGACAGCAGGGAGTATTAATGAACACTTCTTCTCAGCCGGGCCTCTCGCCGCCACACAAACCTCTGGTTCTCTGACAGCTGATGTTTCCTTCAGTCAAGCTGTTCCTGCAGCTTTTAACACTGAGTCGATTATTTTTGGCTTCTTTTCACCCAGGATTAAACAGGTGATGATGGGTAAATATTTCATGTTTTTTAGGTGGAAACCACTGTTTCCCTTTACTTCAAGAGGTGGGGGAAATATGCATCACAATGAGAATCTTTACACATTTGCTTTTTTTAGTTTAGACCTCAGTGATCATAACTGTTTGAACTTTAGTCACATCTGCAGCCAAACTGTGCTTTTTGAGGGTTTTGGGCTTTTCTCTGGTGTTCAGTAGATCCTGTAGGTCAGGTGCTGTCTGAGAAAGTCAGGTTGATGAAGAATCTTGTTTTTCTTAAATAACATCAGTGTGGCAATTATCAGTCCCATCTGACAAAAATGAAAATTCTTTGTGAAATATAAAGTTTTTAAAAGTGACTAAATTACTGTCGGAATTTTTGTCATTTGTTCCCAAGTAGGGGTTTCTGCAAGTGGGAGTTTCTTGGGTGTGAGCGTAGTTTGGGTTAGCTGTGATCGGTTGGATTGAGTTGTAGGCAAACTTTGGATAAACTGTGATTGATCAGATTGATGTGTGGCTGTGGTTTGGGTAATGGCATGTGGGGAAAGTGTAGATAAGATTGTTAATTTTACAAATATTACTTTTAGTGACATGAAGGTGTTAGCTTTTCAAAATTTGAACACCCTACATGTAGAGGGATGTGTAACAATTTGGCTCAGTCAAAACAGCCCTAATTGTTCGAGTTGAAATTATAGATGGTCAAATGGTTTTACATGTTCACAATAATTTTGCTCTTACTATAACTTCATCTTTTAATTTCCCCCATATCTCAATCAGACCAGTTGCAGCTTACCAAAATAACACCCACATCTCGATGCGACCAATCACAGCTTACCCAAACTACACCCATGTCGATCCAACCACTTGCAGCTTACCAAAACTATATCCACATCTCAATCTGACCAGTTGCAGCTTACCAAAACTATTTCCACATCTCAATCTGACCAGTTCCAGCTTACTCAAACTACGTCCATGCCTAAGAAACTCCCATTCATTAACTGCAGAGACCTCCTTGTTTTTGTTCCTTCACATCTGAAGTCAGAACAACTTTTAGATGGTTTTACTGCAGTATGGGTGATTGTGAGTTTCATAATGCTACTACAAAAGTAGTTTCTTTCTTTTTATACGTTAGTTCAAGCACATTTAATCAGCTAAATAAATTCTTCATTTACTCCACAGCCAGTGAAGCATCGCTTTGTTAAAGTTGTAAATAAAATGACAGTCTGTGGTCTAATAATAGTTAGCAGTTAGTGTTTGGGATCTGATAGAGGCTACATTATGAACACATCAATCTTTGACCTTCAACCTGCTGACTGAGGCCTGTAGAGGCTGAGATGAATTTCATCTCTGGGTATCGCACAGTCTGAAAGATTGGCAGCTGTCTTAAATATTCTCTCTGTAGAATAGTTTGGAGATGACCTTTGAGCTTTGCCAGACAGCTGATTCTCTGAGGTCAATGCTGATGCTTTCCATCCTGATGTTGTGCCAACCCACATCTGTTTCTAACGAGGTGCTGACTCTGATGATGATTAGCTGATTATCAGCTCCTGGTCTGAAGCAGCGAGGCTGAAATATTAATAAAAAATATATATGGTGGAATCTCGTGTGTTTTTTTTCACTTGAGATTAGATTTGAATAATTTTAGAACCTGGTGAAGACCTAACCATTTTTATATGTTCTGATGTATAACAGGAGAATTATTTTCCTTTGGCTAACTCACACAATGGCCTGAACTGTCCTGGATAAACACTATTTACATGTTGGTTGTCAACAAGTAAATAACTCCTAAATGACAAACTGTTGGGTTACAGTGAAGTCCACAGCTCACCTGTATGTCCTGCTAGATGTTTACCTTCTGCTAATCTACAGGTGTGTTTTCAATCTCACCGTCTACTGAAGGCTGATTATTTTCTCTGGTATAAAACTATAAGACAAAATAAATGTGGTTAATTATTGATATAACTCGTGTTTTACTGGGACTTTATGACTGTTCTTTGGTCTCAACTCTTCATAAAGTCTTCAGGCCCGTCTGTCTTGTGTTCTGCAGAAACCAGGGATGGATCTTGCAGACACCTACATCACCTTTGTTCGTCAGAACCAGGACATCCTTCGAGATCGTATTAGTGACGAGCTCTACATTGAAAATTTGTTTGAGGTGAGTTTTTTAGTGACCCCCAACATGGGGGCATCCAAAGGGCTCGACACACGGGGAGCGACAAACTACAGCGATTAACGGCTGTCATCGCAGCCAGGGTGAAACCCGACACACGGGACGTGATAGCAATCGCAGCGTTGCGAATCGCGCTCTCAGGTCGCTTGTCTTCACAAAATTTGATTGGTTCTTGACTCTGAAGTGGGGTGTGCATTACGGACGTGTAAACTAAACAAATCTTGCGATGCTAATGATATTGAAAAACAAACGCACATCAAGATACAACTTTATGAGGAAAAGCTTACCATAAACTTCACCCTGGTGCCAATAAATTCCCACAAAGCTTTTTAGTAATCACTTGGTGAAAGTGTTAGCTAACTGCAGTGTGTAGCATACTCTCCTCTCATTGGTCAGTCAATGAAACCCTCGCTGATTGGTTGTACGCTAAGCGACAGCGACAAAAGTTGAACATTTTTCAACTTTCATGTGTCGCGTCGCAAGGTCGCGTGTGCACGTCTACGTGTACGAGCGCGAAATTTCACATGCACTATTTTCGCTGGTCGCTTAGCTGGAGGAGGGCAAGCGATTGTCGCTTCACCGCACAGGCTCCATAGGAAATGAATGGAGAGTGAGCGACGTCGCCTCCCGTGTGTCGAGCCCTTAAGAGATTAATGTTACTTTTTTAATTTTAGTGCACCCCGTCAAATTAAACTGTATAAACTACAATTAAATTGAGACATCTACTGTATAACATATAATAAAACTGATCTGTTGGGTAATTCACAGTTCATTTGCTCTTTCTTGGAGCAAACCAGTTGTAGTTCCTGATTAAAGCCTTTTTCGTGACCTCAGTATTTTAATAATTTCAACACTCATTCTGCCTTGTGTTAAAACCGGGTACTGCCGGTTCAATCCCCTGTTCAATCTAAGTCGTTGTGTCCATGGGCAAGACACTTCACCCACTTTGCCTACTGGTGATGGTCAAAGGGTGGTGCCAGTGCATGGCAGCCTCGCCTCTGTCAGTGTGCACCTGTGCAGCTGTGGTTACAATGTAGCTTACCACCATTGGAGTGTGAATGAATGGGTGAGTGATTGAAATGTAAAGAGCTTTGGAGTCCAAATGGACTTGATAAGGTGCTATATAGTTTCATTCTATTTATCATTTTAACAAATAGGTTGACACGTTCAGGCAGGAGTTTCCTGCTGCCCAGCAAGGGTTCAGTGAGAGACGGCAACAGAACAAGCCTCAGACCTGTTGTTTAATGTTTTAACGTCAGTTTATATCAATCAAATAAATAAATCATATTTAAAGCTGATAACTTCCAAATCCTTGATTGAAACATCTAAGGCCAAACAAAGAAAAAAAAACGTCAGACCTGAAACCAAATAAAGCAGAACTTGTAAAAATGAAGGAGTGGTAGAAAAACATACATCTGACTGCCGCCCTCCTGGAACATCAGAGCTCAACATTTCATGTGGCTGCCAGCCATTATTGCACATATTTATATTGAGTATACAGAGTTTCTTCAGGACAGATTGGCAATAAGGTTTGATCATTTCTGAGATGTTCATGAGTTGTACAGTTTATTCTTTTTAAATCTCTTCAAATGGAGCTCACAGTCAGGTATTTACATGGTGTGATTTTCCACTTTCCGAGCAGCAGCAGGTTGCTTTGATACTGAAAACAATGACTGCTTGTGTTGACCTATTTATCACTTAGGAACACTGAGGGCATTTGGCTCGCTCTGCTGGAGCCAAAAACCCTTTCACACCTCATCCTATCTGTCCATCTCCCCTCCCTGCAACCCATGCTGTCTACTGTCTGCACAGACTGCTCCCACCTGCCACATTCAGATTTAGAAGAATATTTTAGCAGCGAGTTGTCAAACACGCCTCAGCTCACTATTGTGAGCAAATGCAATGACTCAGACATGACAGCTCAGGACTTTGTACACATTAGCAGCACGAAGCCGAGCGATGGATTTCTGCCACCCGCCGGCTCCTCTGAGGGTTCAGAGTTAGCTCCGTGCTGCACAGCGCTGATTTGTGTGTGTATCTAGGTTTGAGGAAGGGGGTGGAGGACAATGAGTCTAATAGAGCTCAGAAGCTCCCAGTCATGCACTGAGTAGGAGGTGACAGCAGGGCCTTGAAGTGTCTCCGCAAAGTCCTTTAGTATCTATCACGCACACACTTCCAGCTCAACATTTGGTGTGGAACAAAGAAAGCAAATATTGTGTTTGACAGCACCGCCGGGCCTCCTAACAGGAGTGTTTTGAATGTGGAATTGTCTTGTTTATGTGCCTCACAGCAAGTCAGTCACATTCATTTACAGCCTCTACTCTTATATTCTTCTACTCTTCTACCCTTTCATTCCTCGCCCCATCTACCTTTCAACTCTTCTACCTGTCTACTCTTCTACCCTTCTACCCTTCTACTCATTTAACCTTCAACTCTTCTACCCATCTACTCTGCTACCTAGGGTTGGGTAGTATTGGAAAAAAAATTAATCACGATTAATTTTGGTATTTAGCCAAAAGCGATTAATTTGAGAATTAATGTCCTGGAGTTCCTGGACACCCTTATGTCCTAGTCACATGACAAATTTAGTGGGAAAGATTTGCTCTTCATAAAAATCTGTTCCAAATTGTGTCAAAATGACAGACTTCAGGCTATACATCTAATTTTAAATTGTGTTGATAGATAAATAAATTACAGAACGTTTTTTTTTAATATTTGTCATATTTGAAGCGGAGAGGAGTATCGAGCAGACTGACTGGGAAAATACCCAGTCAGTCTGCCTCTTGGCATTAATCGTATTAATCATCAAGTGTCAAAAATAATTGATTAATGTTTTTCTGACGATTAATTGCACATGATACGATTATGCCCAAACCTACTGCTACCCTTCTATTCTTCTACCCTTGTACCCTTCTACATGTCTAACCGGCTACCCTTCTACCCTTCTATTCTTCTACCCTTCTACCCTTCTACTCGTCTACTCTTCTATTCCTCTCCACATCTATAATTCAACTCTTCTACCCGTCTACCCTTCTACTCTTCCACTCTTATACCCATCTACTCTGCTGCCCTTCTACTCGTCTGTCTACCCTTCTACTCTTCTACCCTTCTATTCCTCTCCCCATCTATATTTCAACTCTTCTACCCATCTACTCTTCTACTCTTCCACTCATTTACCCTTCCACTCTTCTACCCATCTACTCTGCTGCCCTTCTATTCGTCTGTCTACCCTTCTACTCTTCTCTTCTACCCATCTACTCTGCTGCCCTTCTATTCGTCTGTCTACCCTTCTACTCTTCTCTTCTACCCATCTACTCTGCTGCCCTTCTACTCATCTAACCGTCTACTCTTCTATTCTTCTACCCTTCTACGCGTCTAACAGTCTACCTTCTACCCGTCTCTTCTACCCATCTACACTTCTATTCTTCTACCCTTCTACTGTTACACACTTAACCTTCTACTCTTCTACCCATCTACCCTTCCTCCCCACTCTTTTAACATTCCACTCTTTTAACATTCTTCTACTCTTCTCTTCTACCCAAACATCCTTTAACTTATCTACCCATGTATTCTTCTACCATCTACGTTTCTACTCTTCTACCCTTCTACCTTTCATCTCTTCTACCCTTCTACCTTTCTACTCTTCTATGCTTCCACTCTTCTACCCTTTTACTTTTCCACTCAAACTCTTCCACTCTTCAATTGTTCTATTTTTCCATGCTTCTACCCTTTAACTTTTTATTCTATTTTTCTACTCCTTTATTCTTCTACTTCTCTACTCTTCTGCTCCACCACTCTTCTGCTTTTCAAAAACAGTTTTTCTGCATCTGGAGCAGAGGAAATCATTGGATGGAGTAATCACACACGTATATAAACTCATTTATACGCACCCATATTTACACACACCTTTCTACACACATCAATCAATACACACTTGTAAACACACATACATCCACACACGTCAGGACACATGTGTAAACACACACACATCGAAACACACCCATCAACACACGCACACATCAATACACACTCATAAACACACACATCCACACACGCACACGTTTGTTCTTCTATCCTCATTGGGATTTTGCATTGACTTCCATTCATTTACTGGTCATTTTTATAGCCTAACCTTCGGGATTCCTGGGCATGCTGGCAGTATTAACGGACAGTGTGTTTTTGAAGCCAGGGACATATGCCTTCCCAGGTTTCCGCCTTAAGGAACAGCACTATAGGAAAGGTGACTCTTGGGCCTCAGGAGTCTTAATTGCAGCCCAGTCTTCTACATGTATTAGCCTAAACCACACACAGTGAACTGTAAACACTCACTAGAAGGAATTCATCAAAATGATCTAAACATTTTTATTGATTAGATTAACCTTATTGTAAACGTCCTACATACACATACTAGACCACACCCCCAACCATTCCTGACCCCTCCCTTAACACTCACCTTCTTCTGTCTAAACCTCCCTATTCTGACCTCTCCTCCATCTCTATGAAGCACAGCACATGACAAACACTCAATGTACTGAGTTCTACTCAAACAGTACACCTACTTTCACCAGAATATGCCAGCCATATTCCACTACATCATACAGCACATACAAATCAACAGGCTGTCTCCAACTGGAACAACCAACTCCACCGTCCACTTCCCACAAAGTTAGGACCCAGTTGCCCAGGACTACACCTGATCTTGAGCGAGCGTGCACTTCCTAAAGGATTTACCGACTCTGCAGAGCCATCGGTCGGTACATAACTGCTCCTAAACCTGACCTTTTAGTGGGTCCTCATCAGGCTGTGTGTACTGGGGAAATGATTGAAAATTGTCCCCACCATGTGTCAAAAATGTGTACACACACATCAATACACATCCTAAAACACACACATCTACACAAACACACACACACACACACACACACGGGCTGTGTCCAAAACGGCAGGACGGGTCCTCCGAAGGTCGAATTTGTCGGCCGCATACGTCACAGCGCCGCGACGAAGGACGTCCAAAACGGAAGACTCCTCCGATGCGTCCGACAAATACGTCCTTCTTTTTCCCTGAATCTAAGGACAGGTCTGATGGATCCTTCCCGGCCCAGCATATCCCATAATGCTTTGCGGCCCGACCGGAGATTTTTTAAGCTAGTAATGGCAGACGAAGTGAGAGAAAAGAATAAATTTTAAATAAAAGTATGGTGATTTAAAAATAAAAAAAAATTAGCGGTTGTAATTCTAATACTTTTATCATTTGTATGGACATGTTTTTAAATATTATTTTTTCGTCATAAAAAACGCGAAATAAACATGCACCTACAGCGGGTCAATTAGTTCTTCAAATGATACTTTTAAGTTAATTTTATAGTTTTGTGATATTAATAATGCTAATGTATTGATATTTTTCTAATTTTGCTTCTGTTTAGCGTCGTCACAGTTGCTAGGTGACATGACGTACGCCGGGGTAAGGAGGGGAAGCTAGACCGTCCAAATCCACAGCCTCTTTTTTTCCGATCTTCCCGGTCTACCAAGGACCCGGCCCGCCGAGACCGGGGAGTCTGGGTCCTCCGGAGGACCCGGCCTGTCGTTTTGGACACAGCCACACACACAGATATCAACATACAACCATAAATTTCTGTATAATATAAACTTCTCATAAAAAGTTGGAATGTCTGTTTATTTCTCTTTTAAATGGTGCCACATTTGTAAGGAACATGCATTTGTGGGATGAGCAGTAGAACTTAGCATATGGGTTGCTCACATAAAAAAAATGTCAAATCTTCTGTGCCAAACAGCTTATCCCACTGTTGCTAATAATGCTTGTTTAGAGCTTCTGGTACCCCCCAGGTGCTGCAGCACCTGTGAGCATGGGCCCTGCTACAGTGGTCAGTAGATGTCTGCTCCAAAACTTGTTGTGCTATGTTTGACTGATCTGGTTAGGGCCCGTGCAATTCAGCAACTTCAAGTTGATTTTATGCAAAATTCTTCTCCAAACTGAAGGCCAAGTTCCAACAGGAGATGTCAGAGACCGGCCACAAAGTAGGCATCCCAAGAAATACCCCAAGAAGATGTTTCCTCAGCCTGTCAGCACTTAGGTACTGTCGGCTCGTGATATGGCCAAAATCTTCTTGTGGCTTTGTGTGGTTTTTCCACATGCTACTGAGGCTCCTTTTAAATGAATTAATTGTTAAATTGCCAATATATCTTGTTTCTTCTAACTTCAGTCATCCAATCCACCAAATGAGTCAACAACAAAATAAGGTGTTTCGGAAATAGTTATGTGAGCGACCCACATACTCAGCTCTACTGCTCATCCCACAAATGCATGTTCCTTACAAATGTGGCACCGTTTAAAATGGAAATTAACAGACCTTCCAACGGTATAAGATTTGTTGTCAAGAAGCATTTTTAAAACAAAGAAATAATCTAACAAATATTTATTTACTTTTTGTGCTAAATTTATATAAGTTCAAATACAGTATATAAATTAAAATATTAAGACATCAATACTAATACGTTTTAATTCATTTTTTTAAATTGTTTATACTCAGAAAATTAACATTTTTGCATAAAAAAAGTACATTGACAGTGACTCAAAATAATAATTTTGTCAACACCAGGATCAGATAATTAAAAATTTTCACTGATGTCATTACTGTAGCACCAACCAGAACCAGCCCCCCAGCCCAGACTTCTCATGTTTCTGACAGGACTAATAACAACTCAGCCCTCCCTCCCCCACAGTTTCACTCCATCTGTTTTCACTCTTCTGCTCTAATCGCCTCAATTAAAAGCCATCTTGGTTTTCTTTTTTTTTCTAACTGTTATTAAAGCTCACAAGGCAACCAGCAGCCTGCTGATTAACCACTCTGATGGAAGTTGTTTGCCAGAAAAATATAGGTTCCTCTGAGTAGGCGACATGAAAGAAGTCAGGAGATATGGGAGTAATTTTAACATCTCTGGGCATCTGTTCTCTCAGTCTGCAGTCCACAATAGACTGATTAACAAACAACACTATTGCAGTGCTTGAAACAATGACTGGAGAGCTGAGGTAGGATGAGGCGACCAGGAGCACTTCCTGTCAGAATCTATTCAGTTATTATAAGACACAAATCAAACTACAGCACACTGTGTACTGTACACATAGTATATAGTAAAATTCTTTTCCTCATGATGTCATCTGTTTTGTGAAGATCATCAGTTCCTCCTGAAGTAAAACAGCCCACATCATGATGCTGCCACCCCTGTACTTCACAGTTAGGATGATGATCTCAGAATTGATGTTTCCACATTTTCCCTCCAAATGTAGCGATGCTCGACATGTCTCCAAAAACTAAAGGTTTCTGTCCCTGTGTACAAATACAGACTGTAATCTGCCTTTCCTCTCTGAGTGTCCTCCAGTCCATGTTGGTCCAGGACTCGTTCCTCTGTGGATCAGGATGCTCTGCAGTTTCTGTCTCAGGGTTAATCGTCTCTGAGCTGTATGGTGGCAGGACGTTCTCATGGTGGTTATTCTGTAGAAATGTTTAAAGTGATGAAGCTTCATGAAGCTGCGCAGGTCAACAGTTCTCCTGATATGTTGTCTGATATCAGGACGAGAACTGACGTCTGATGATGATGATGTCACTCAAAGAAGCAGAGTGTTTATTCAAACATTTCACAGAGAGAAATAAATGATTGTGTTTTTTTTCCTATGGTGTATTTAAACATTTTGGTTTCAGCTGTAGTTGTTGATGTACATCCAGTGATTGCTCTCTGCAACTTTCACTCAAATCTGTTCAGTGGTTTCAGTTATAATAGACCCACAGTAATGACTCAGTTACTGGCAACATGTTAGTGTGTGATCTGTTAGCACTCAGGTTATATGTTGAGGTCAGTCTCAGCTACTTCCTCACTATATTTTAAACTGAGCTCTACCCGTTTTTATGTTTTTAAGTTCAGCTTAAGAAGCTAAAAACATTAAAGTAACATAAGGTTAGCTAAATGTGTAGATTAAGAAGACAAAATCATAACTAGTATGGTTTAAATGTTTTTAATGGAAGAGCAGAAATCTCAGTGTATTTCTACTGTATGTTTTATATTAAAGAGTTAAATATTTTAAAAACTAACTGTTATAAAAAGCAAAATTCAACTATTTGAATGAGCTGATTTGTTTTTAAATCGTGTGTGTGTGCGTGCGTGCGTGCGTGCGTGTGTGTGTGTGTGTGTGTTGTTTTAACAGCAGTGGTACAGCAGCTCGATGAAGGCTGTGTGTGTTTGGCTGACGGACAGACTGGACCTGCAGCTCCACACCTACCAGCTGAAAACACTCATCAAGATAGTCAAGGTAAACACACGAGTGATGACTTCAGTAGATTCAGCTTGTTATAAACATCCAGTAACATTTCAACTGAAGGCCCAGCATGGCTAACCTTATGTTTGTGTGCACATCCTGCAGAACTCTAACCCATTCTTATTATTGATGTCCATGTTTGATTTACTCTATAGGAGCAAATTTAAGAAATGAAGGATTACAGCGGGTAAAATAAGTATTGAACACGTCA